TTATTTATTAAATCCAGACAATTGGTTGATGAAAAATTGATTAAAATGAATACAATTTAGGCTATACAAAATGAAATTTACTTTAAATAAAGCCTTTCTTCTGAACAACTTAATGAAGTGGTAAAAATCATCTTTGTCGACCCAAGTCTCTCGATATAGTATTGCGTATCCATTTTCATAATCACAGATGGAAAAAAATAACATTATAACAAATATGAACCTAAATGTGCTAATTTAATGGCTGCAACACATATAGTATAGGCTTGCAGACTCTTTATTTAAAATGGCTGCACATTCATTTAATTCTGAAGTTTGCAAACAAGTTGAATGGCATTCTTTTGTAAATGCAAGTGTCACGTTCTTTGAGACGAGTGCATGTTGCAAAGTCATATTAAAGAACCGATTAGAACGTGCGATACACTCGCTTCACTGAGCCGTGCTGTACTGTGGATAGCGTGTTAAATACGTGTAACCAGGGTGTGATTTGCCGGGGGGATGCGTGGGATTTCCCCTTTCTGGTCAGTGTGTCCCTGCCTCTGCTTAATTATTTTTATCCCTGGTGGGGATAAATTTATCCCCCCCTCAAAGTGATCAGTGCTACTAAACTAGTGGTGAAACGGATCAGAAAACTTATCATGGATCCGTGGTTTGATTAAAGTCCATTTTATTTTTAAATGCGCTACTTTGGCTGACTCTCATATAGCTGTCGCTCTGCACGAGTCTGCAGACTTGCTCAATCTGATTGGTTACACCTCACGCCTATCAACACTTGCGAGACGGTTGCATGTCCGCACTGGGCTGTGGAGCTGTGTGTAGAAAGGAAGGCAGCATTCAGAATAAACTTCACAATCTGATTATCTGTTTCTATGATGACAAGCAGAGCTAGTGTCCCAGTCACTGAGAATGGCCGAAGTTACACGGTGTTTCACTCACTCTTGAACGTCTGGCGCGAGTGATTTCAATGTTAAATCGATGTAAAGACGCGTTTGCGCGCGTCTAGTGGTTCTGCAGCGCGAATGAGGCATCTGTCTTTTCTATCATTTTGCTGTATCTCAGCATCGCGATGTAACATTAACATTTTTACTTTCACTTAACAGCAGCAGTAAAACTGTTTCTATGACGGTTTAACTTTGCAATCAATCCGTGGTTCAGGAGAGGCTGATATAAATTTGCCTACCCTATTAATCTATTGATTTAATTATTGCATGTTTTTCGTTGCATGATCACAGTTCAAATGTGTGGGAAGCTATTAGAGTAAAAATATTGCGTTAGGATACTTCATGTGTTAATAAGATTTTTTTTTTGCAAATGCAGTGATGAAGTTCATGTTCTCATGATTTATTTTTTATGAAATATTTTTTTTCAAAACATCCCCCCCTCTGTTTTTTTCACAAATCGCACCCTGCGTGTAACAATAAAATAACTTCACTGCCACACGTGAATGACGCGTGACGTCGGGACCTGACACTTCACTGCCACGCGTGATTTGCGTGACGCCTGTGTGATGTCTGTGTGACGCCTGTGTGACGCCTGTGTATGGCGTTCCGATAGGCTCTTTAATATAACTTTGCAACATGCACTCGTCTCAATGAACGTGATGTCTGCGTCTGCCGAACGTGACGTCTGAGTCTGCCGAACGCCTCGTCTGCGTCTGCCACATCACTCGTTCGTCTGCCGAACGTCTCGTCTGCGCCTGCCGAACGTGACGTCTGCGTCTGCTGGGAGGGTGGGGTGTACCAAATAGCTCATAAGGAATGCATAGGCCTACTGCTCTTCAATTATGTTTGTTTATAAATTAAGTGTTTTTACCTTGCTTATACATATATTTTTTTCAAATAGTAGCCTAAATATGAATTCACACAAATTATCTTATTAAAACTTTTGTTTGACATTGTTTCTTGTCAATTTTCCCAAAGAACAAGATGTTATTTCATCATGTATAGCCTATTTGAGAAATGTAAGCATATTTACGGCATTTATTTTAAAATAATGAAAAGGGTAATCTAAGACATATAAGGACAGGGTGACCCTGATATTTACGGAAATCCGTCGTAGGTACTCATATCGACGCATAACTTCACTGAATATTACATACATTATATATTAGTAAATATATTGTCTCAAATTTTTAAATATATGAAAATGTCTTATGTAATATGCAATATATTGTACTAACACCGTATAATTCTGTATATGTTCAAATATATACTGATAAACCATGCAGCGTTTCTCAAAGTGTGGGGCGCGCCCCACTGGTGGGGAATAGAAACATGAAAATTGGGGCGCGACAAACGGGAGAAAATGTGTTTTTTTTTTGTTTTTTTTTGTCCATCTCTATTAATTCCTTTATATATTGAGCATAAACTCAAAACAAAACAACGACATAAAGACTATAACTTTTATTTTAAAATTGAATTGTTTCTATAACGCTTGAAATGTATTTTTATTGAATTGTTTCATTTAAAGACATTTCAGGCTTTAGAAAGCTTGAACTTTCTTTAAACGAAACAGTTCAAAACTAAAATAAATAGATTACTCTTTAGGCTAGGCCTATTTCTCATAGTTTCGTTTAATTTATGACGAGATGTGCTTCAGTTAACGAGTTACCGCGGCCGTGTGCAACTCCATGCTTATGGCTCTCTGTTATATTTGCTTTATTTATTAAATCCAGGCAATTGGTTGATGAAAAATTTATTAAAATGAATACAATTTAGGTTATACAAAACAAAATTTACTTTAAATAAAGCCTTTCTTCTAAACAAAACTTACTGAAGTGGTCAAAATCATCTCTGTCGACCCACGTCTCTCTCGATATATATTGCCTATCTATTTTCATAAGATGGAAAAAAAAAAAAACATATAACAAATATGAAACTAAATGCGCTTATTTAATGGCTACTTGCAGACTCTTTTTTTATTAGAAATGGCTGCTCATTTATTTAATTCTGAAGTTTACAAACAAGTTGAAAGGCATTCTTTTGTAATATCTGCAACATTTATCAAGTACACAGATAATTTTGCATGCATTTATAAATCATTATGGTAAATAAAGTAATAAATAAAGTAATAAAACAATAAAGTAATAAATAAATATGAACGCAACTCATTTAAATGCACGTTATTAAGCATTTTACTCCCATAGAAAATCATTAAAAGAACGTTTACGTGGTTTAATGCAGATTAGACCAGGGGTTTGTGTGTGGACCACTATTTAATCAAGATTTTTTTTATTCAGTCTGGTTGAAGTCCCCATTAGGATAGAAAAACATGAACCCAAGTCCTATCACAGACGCAGACGTGACGTTATAAGACAGACGCAAGTGTCACGTTCATTGAGGCGAGTGCATGTTGCAAAGTCATATTAAAGAGCCGATCAGAACGAGCGATACACTCGCCTCACTGCCTTGTGTAAATTGCGTGACGTCAGCGTCACATCAGCGTCACGCCTGCGTCTTAAGTTGAATAGAAATAAATAACAGACGTTGAGTGAGACGTTCATTGAGACGAGTGCATGTTGCAAAGTTATATTAAAGAGCCTATCGGAACGCCATACCTGTGTGACGCCTGTGTGACGTCTGCATCACGTCTGCGTCTTAAGTTGAATAGAAATAAATGGCAGAATAAAAAAAAAAATAAGACGTTGAGTGAGACGTTCATTGAGACGAGTGCATGTTGCAAAGTTATATTAAAGAGCCTATCAGAACGCCATACTCCTAAACGCGAGTGTGTAGGCTATTGACGCCTGCAGCGCTTGACATTTGCCTTGTGTTGAGCGAGAAGAAGCAGCACCGCGAGCCCTGAATATGGAAAAAATCGATTCGTGGCCGTTGAGATTCGATTTTGAATCGACCACATTAAAAAAAAAAAAAAAAAAAAACATTAATCGAAAATCTTTTTTTGCCCAGCCCTAGTCAAAATTCCCAGTTATCTGCATATAAAGTCAGCGAAGGAAAACCAGACTAAAAAAAGAAGACAGTATTTGAAAATGCTATGATGAAAAAGTCTTTGGATAAAGCAAGAAGTCAGACGAGAGTCAATATCAACTGTGCTTTCCAGCCGTGGCGGAACTGACAACCAAGGGCTGCACCAACAGTGCTTTTGTGGAAGCTCTTACATGTAAAATCTTACATGAAATTCACTCTCATCACAGTGTAACTGATGGTAATGGGAAAACGTGTATCATGCAACCTGTTTTTAGTTTAGCTGTTTTTAGTTTTTATATTACTAGCTCGTTACCGAATCAAACTCAATATATTTTAAACTTTACCATTACCAGTATCGATATGTTAGCTTGATAGTGAGTACTAACAGCCATGCTAGTTGTTTGTATTAATAGTGATAAAGTTAGGCATTTTATTACATGTGATTCTGACATGATGCCACTATATGCACTGCTCCTCTCAGCGGCGCTGGTAAATGCGTACTCCAGCGGAGCGCGGTCAGCAGCGCTCGTTCATGTGTTTTGGGGGCGTGGCTTTGTAAGAATCCCAGACGGGAGGGGGTGGGAGTGAATGAAATAATGAGCTGGGTTTATTGCAGCACTGAGAGGACTACAGACACTCGATTTGTATACTTTCTTTTTCAGAGTACTTGCATTTTAATTATGTATTGGTATATATAGACAGTTTAAACAAATTTGGAGAAGTTTTTTTTAGAAAATTTCTACCCCACCTTTTAAGAAAGAAAGATTGAACTATCCACAATACCAGTCTAAAGTCATAGTTTGCTTTACGTTTCACATTTTAAATAAAGTATCTTGAAAAAAGGATTGAGGTCATTTGAATGTAGTGAAATGTAGTGAATGTAGTGAAGTTTTTCTACCACCTAGATCATTTACTGTGATTTTAGAAACAATCTTCTCATGTGCATCTTAATCATAGGCAGCTGTTAATCTGACAATGTCTCATTGCATTACAGCTGTTTGAATAGTTTTGACATATCATTGTGGCGGGAATCTTCTTGTGTAACTCGTTAATCTGTAACTGTCTTTCTTTCTCCAGAGAATCCATCTGATGCTGATCTGTGGTTACTGAACAGTTGCACAGTCAAAAACCCTGCAGAAGATCACTTCAGGAACTCCATAAAGTAAGTTTCTGCAACTCACAGTAACTGCATGAAGGTTTTATGTGTATTTACTTTAGGGTCTGGAAAATTAACATGTGATCTCATGCTCTCAAAGCTACCTTGCTTTTGCTAGCCTCTACGAAGTGCCTACCCTACCTTTTAATATTTACTTTTTAATGCATAGTTTACGTAATTAGTGTAACTTGCATATAAATCCCTCATCATTACAGACACCCCTCATCATTACAGATGCCATTGATTACTTTAGCCCTTCATGTGACATTGCGATATAGAACACCATATACAAAAAAACAACATGCTTCAGGATTTAGTGTGCTGTCTACCTAGACAAGTGTAGAGCAGTAGTTTAGTGAATTTTTTAAATGGTCTGTTTTACTATTGTGTATGTGTGTCAAGTCTCATTTATATCCATAGCATTTTATGGAATACAGATTGTTCCAAAGCAGCTTCACTAATGTTCCTGTCATCTCACTAGTACACTCACACACTCTCTCTCTCACACACACACACACACGCACACACACACACACAACCTCCTGTAGGAATTGAGATGCAGCTGAAAACTTCAAAATAAAAATACATTTTTTTAAAGGGGACCTAATCATCAGGAAGTAGCTATCAAATCCCCAAATGTAACATTTTCACTTTTCACAATCATCAGTGCCAAATGATTTCTGCCATTGTCTTTGCAATCTCTTCAGAAATACAAAAAACCGAAAGCTCTTAGTCATCTTACTTGTAATGAATATGCAAATATTATTGAAATTAGTCAGGGAAGAATGGGGTCTTTTCAAAACCACACAGTTTTCTAGGAAAAAAAAAAGGATTTGAGAGAGCCATTGCTATAATGCTAATGCAATTACAGCTGCATTGAGCTTTGCGTCTGGCTGCGGTGCCAGGCCTCTTGCGCCCACTGTTGTGGCTCTGAGCGCAGTGCTTGCTGGGTTGTTGCATTTCATTTACATATTGAATTAGTACAAAGGCTTCCCAATTCAATCCCCTCCCCCCACAAAGGAAGGCACATAATGGCATCTGTGGGCTTGGAGGCAAACACAAGTGTTACCACTAAGTAAACACACATAATTTACAAAGACAGAACAAAAACACTGTGAAAGGAGTAGCCATGCAAATCATGACAGATTCACAAAAGAACAGATGTGGACGTTGTGAACACAAGCACACATGTGCAACATATTAAAACAACATCAGATTAAGAAGCAGTACTGCAAAAAAAATAAAAAATAAGTAAAAAAAATAAATAAAATAAATAAAAATATATATATATATATATATATATTTCCCAGTGGCAGTCATAGACTGTAAAAAAATATGGACAAAGCGTCTGTGACGTCACCCATAGACTCCCTTAAAGGGTTAGTTCACCCACAAATGAAAATTAAGTCATTAATTACTCACCCCCATGCTGTACCAACCCCGTAAGACCTTCGTTCGTCTTCGGAACACAAATTAAGATATTTTTGATTAAATTTGAGAGCTGTATAACTACCACATTGGCTCCTAAGGGACTGCCTCTTGACGGCCCAAAAAGTCAATGAAGAAAATGTTTAAATATCCCAAGTGACTACCGTGGCTCAACTATATGTTTACCAAGCGACGCGAATACTTTTTTGTGCGAAAAAACAAACAAAAAATAACGAGTTTATTCGACTATTTTTTTCTTCCTTGTAGGCCAGAACGAGACTTCCTTATAGATTTTCCACGACGCATGCGCGAGATTTGCGATCTGAAGTAGTGTAAGCTGTGTACGCAGATCGCAAATCTCGCGCATGCGTCGTGGAAATCTATAAGGAAGTCTCGTTCTGGCCTACAAGGAAGAAAAAAAATAGTCGAATAAACTCGTTATTTTTGTTTTTTTCGCACAAAAAGTATTCGCGTCGCTTGATAAACATATAGTTGAGCCACGGTAGTCACTTGGGATTTAAACATTTTCTTCATTGACTTTTTTGGCCGTCAAAGGCAGTCCCTTAGGAGCCAATGTGGTAGTTATACAGCTCTCAAATTTAATCAAAAAATATCTTCATTTGTGTTCCGAAGACGAACGAAGGTCTTACGGGGTTGGTACAGCATGGGGGTGAGTAATTAATGACTTAATTTTCATTTTTGGGTGAACTAACCCTTTAAGAACGGGTTTGAGGCTGTTTATGGGGGGTATGGGCGGCGCCATACTGGAAAATCTTGGGAAATACAAAATACAAAATTTTCAGAAAGGATACAGAGGTGGTATGTGTTGTCAGATCATGGCCGAGACGTCAAATTCACTCGGCGCAGCCCGTTATCAGCTGTCAATCAAAGTTAACCACCCTTATTTGTCATACATTTTATCTAAATACGATCTAAACTAACAAGTTAGAAAAAAATTCACCCCCCTCACAGTTGTCAGGCACGTGGGATATATTGAAGATTACAATAAAAGTTCATGGGACCAAACTGTAAACATATGAATTTGTGCTGTGAAAATGGATATTTTAACATGACGTCTAAGGATATTTGCTCCCTTTTAGGACCGGCCTCTAGCGGATTTGAGATGTATTGCAGTTTTTCGCACTTTCGGGTAGGCTTCAGCTTTCAGATTAGAATGTTGCCGCTTGGTGGCAGTACAATCAGATCTATAATATATTTACATATTATATATATTATTATGGCAGCATTTAAATATTCATCCAGTTCCTTTTGCTTGAAGATCAGATTCATCTCAGGCCCTAATGTGGACATACATCCTGGTGGTAGTATGAACTCTAGCTGCTGCATTTTGGACCAGTTGGAGTTTTATAAAGCATACAGAGCAACCAAGTAAAGTCATCTTTGTTTATATAGTTTTATACAATACAGATTGTTTCAAAGCAGCTTTACAGTGAAAACAGGTTGGGCGTTCCCTCAAAGTGATTTGCTGGAATGAGCGCCAGCCAATGAGATTTTGAGAAGTTTGCGCATTAGTTCCCCCCCTACTACAGGAGAAACCAACATATCTTCTGCTTGTTATTAAAAGCAGAATAATTAAAAATGAACTGAAAAATGTCGTTGTTGTGTTGAAAACACAACAAAGAATATAGTTTACATGTTGCGTGTCGATTCTGTGTGGTATTTAAGATTTCTGAGAAACACAGCGCTCTCAGCAAAACGATCGTGAGTCCTGCCACCTTCACATTGGAGTTTATAGTACATCAAATACAGGTACGCTACACATCCATTGAGCTGATCGCTTGATGAAGAGCAAAACTCTCAAGTGCTTAGTCAGTGTTCAGCAAGTGAAAATATAAACTAAACTCAGCCTCTGACACCGTGTCCTAATTGCACGCAACGGACGATAAAAGGTATCTTTTCCATGTTAATCAGCCACGGCGACGACACACGGTGATTCTATTTTAAAAACGGTTTCTATTTTTCTGCAACTTCGCGCTGGAACAAACAAAGTGTGGCAATGATAATCTCAGGTACTGTTTGTGTGCTTAATTTAATGTTAAAGGTGCATTGCGCAACATTTCATGTTAAAAATAGCCATTTTCTAACCCATACATGCTTAACTCTCAGAGACCGACGGCATCGTCGACGACGTCACAGGCCACCTCCGATAAATGTTTACATAACTCGATGACAGATTTGTCGATTTTCTTACCGTTTTTTCCAGCAGAAAGCTAACGAGCTAGCCATCACGGGGGTGCCTTTGGTGTCTTTCTAGCCTTTACAGAAGGTTTTCTATCCAGCCTGGAACTTGTGCTTCCCTTCAGAGGTTTTCAGCAATAAACCCAAACGCTTTATGTCTAACTCTGATACTCTTGAACTCCATAATTCATAAATATTCCGTCATTTTTGCCGCTAGCTCGATGCTAGCGGACATTCTGGATATCACGTGATGTTTTCACGTGATGGTTTTTGACCAATTACAGGCTGATCTGTCGTAAACATTGGTGTGCGTCATTACGCATGAACCAAGCACTGATATAGTGGAGAGAGATAGAGACGCGCGATTCACAGAGAAACAAAGAGAAATGGACGTAAATAAAGCGTTTGTCTATTTTGGTGCCTTGCAGGATGAAGGATTTTCAGGAGAACAGAGCTTTTTGACAGATGAGGAACTAGATTACCAGGATAGACCCAGCTGAAGTGCCATTTATTTATTTACTGTAAAAAAGTATTATAGTAGTATAAATGTATTATAAAAGAATAAAAAGAACATAATAAATAAAATAATAAATAAAATAGAAATGCAAAACCTGTGATGTGGCCCTCTGTGTGATTGCTGATAGGAACTGTTTTGAGGCTTGGCACCAGTGAATATCATGAGGCCCCAAACGCCTGGACTTCTTTTGGAAAAATGTCAATAGTTTTTGTTCTGTACAAGTTATAATGTTTATTCCTGTGCTCCAGGACTCCAAAGACATGAACAAACTATTTTCCAGAGGAAATTTGCTTAGCTTTTATTTATTTGTGTGTGATTTCAACAAATATTTGAGTGATTCAATTTCCGATTTATTATTTTACATTCAGGTGACATCAATGCAACACAAATATGCTGAAAGTTCAATTTGTCCTGAAAAAAAAAAGAGCTGTGTCAATTGCCTGTACACCAAAGGGTTGATGTTTTACTAGCTTTTTTAGTAAATAACACCAGACGGAAAATTAATTGTAAAAATACCCTTAGGTCTCAGAGGGTTAAACAATCCCCTGATGGGCTGAATGAGCCCTTCTCTGATCACTGAGATCGCCTCTATAATCCTGTACAGTAAAATAAATAAGAGTGATTCGGGCTCGAATCTGAGACTGGCCGTGACGTCATGCGCGTTCACGCTCACCTGGTTATGTGCCTATGTCTTGCAGGTAGTGTATTCGCCGCCATTCTCCGTATCAGAGAAGACACCTCGAGCGACACAACTTTAGTCAACTTTCCACAAAAGTAGAAGATGGATTCAAAGGGGCTGTTTAGCCTACATCTGGTCACTTCATGCGTTTTCTGTGATCGGATAGCTATTCGATCGTGAAAA